TAAAAAGAAAAGGTACTAGATTTGAGTCCCCAATGATTTGGAATATTTAATATTTAAGTAATTCTCTTCAGCTCGATGCAAGGAGAGATTCGATATCCAGATACCATAGTATGCATTCAAGTTAGCTAAAATCTTATGCATTCAAGTTAGCTAAAATCCTATCTAGTTGACATCCAGTCTAGCTAACGTTTTGTCTCTCAAACATCATGAATAGCCAAATCTACACATAAATCTAATTCCAAAAGAGTTTGAAATCCAGATATTCGAGAAATAGATTACATCTCAATCTTGTTCGACAGAGTTCAAGATTGGATACATTAAAGATAGAGAGAGGGAGACTTAAACAAAATAGTCATTGGATTTATACTCTTCAAGGGACTTTAAGGTACCATATAATCATGCTTTTTACAAAGCTTTGAACTCCCATGATATGGTCTGAATTCCAAGGTGTAATAGGGTTTTGATGAGTACACTCCCAGGATACAATTTTTTCGATGAATCACCGATAGGTCTTCGAGTTGTGGTTTTTATAAAAACTTTGAGATCACAAAATAATGATTTGCCCTTAGATCATAGAGGAAGGGCATCAATTTGAAACAAATCTTGCTGAATTTAATTTAAAGAAAGTCAATTTTCAAAGACTTTTTGTTGGTTGAGATATGGAGTCTAGGAGATAGTAAGATTTGTGAAATTCCAACAGAATCATCATCCAAATAAGGAAGACGAGAAATGCATTTGTGTAGAAGAATAAAGGAGTCCACGATAGGCGACCAACTTGTATCATCCATGTCCTATGACACATCGTGAAAGAGAGTGTCACTTGTATAATCTATGTTGTCTACATTTCAATAGTATAATACACGATTATAAAAATTGAGTTTTAAAATCCTGATGCCTAAAGACTTAGAAATATGCAAATTTACCAAAATTGCTCGAACAAATATCAAACAATGTTGCATTATTTTAAAACAGTATCATCCAAAAAATTAACACTCCATTGGTCGACCATGACAGTGGAGATGATGTTGGCAGGATGCATATTAAAACAAGAGAAAATATCATACGGACACCTAAATAAAACTTCAATTTTATTGTTTCCCCTTCTTTCTTTCTCTTTTATTTTTATTTTTATTGTATAGCATTAAATATCTATCATACCAACCCCTCCTAGCATCCTTCCCTATGATTTCTTATTTTTACTTGGGTCATTTTCAAATTCTAAATTCCTTTTCAAAACTTCTCACTTGTTCCTTATTTATAATTCTTTCTCTTCCCTTTCCCTCATCACACCCACTTTGAGCTCTCTCTCTCTCAACCTTCCATATCCATTCTCTCACCCAAGTGAGCTTTCTCTCTCTCCCACTCTCAGATTCCGCCTTTTTTTCTATCTCTAAAGATAAAGGCACCTTTGTTTCCCTCTCTATCTTCCCGACCCTGGCCTATTTTTCTTCCACAATATAGCTGGAAAAAAAAAAATTTATCAGATAAATTTCATAAAGTTCTCTATATTTTAGATATTAATACACACATAAAATTCTCTATATTTTAGATATTAATACACACATACACATGTTCTCCTAATTTTTTTCGTAAATGGTGTTTTTACCCCTCCATGAATGCGGTATATTAAAGCTCAAACCTGCCCGTTGCACATGAAGGTAATGCATATGCGTTTTGGTACTTCCGAATAATTCTTTGGATGAGGGTAGTGCAGATGCATTTTGGTACTTCCGAATAATTCTTTGCAGGATGGTACGCATTGCTGCTTGCGTTTGAACATGCTAATTATGCAAGAACCTTCCCCTTTTGATGCATTGTTGCTTCGATATTTATTAGTATAGTTCAAAAACTCGATTCGGTCAAGATACTTGGGCTCTAGTCGAAGCGATTTATTTGGGTGTGTCAAATGACGTGTTTGAGTCGAGCTGATTATTTTTTAAAAAAAATAAAATAAAAAAAAATAAAATTATATATAGTTAAAGTGCCTCTTTTTATTGTCAAATGGATATGTTGGTTATTGTTTCTGCTATAAATTGATCTTTGAGGTTGTGGGATCCACTCTCGTGGAGGCTAATTTTTTTTAAAACTCCAAAAAAAGGATGACGTTTTTAAAAGTACAACCTAAAAAAGGTGCCACTGGAATGGATCATGTAGCTAATTTTTAAAAAAAATCGAGAAAGAAGGGCATTTTTAAAAGTACAACCTAAAAACGGTGGTAACAAAATGGTACGGTTCGACTTTATTGTGTGACTAAAAATCGAAGAGACCTTTACATATCTGATTTAGATTTGAAAGGTTTTAATATAATTAAACGAAAAAAAATAGTGTAGAACCGATTCGGCCTTGCCTCACCATAGGGCGAGGCCAAGTTACTAAGTCGAGCTTGAGTTACCTCGGTTGAGTTTCAGAACTCACGTTTATTAACTTGAAACAAAACAGGAAATAATGGAAATGGTTGGAAAGATGTTCTAAGGAACCCTTGACCGCCACGGGCCTGCTACATCCATAAAGGTTTGGACCCCTCATGGACACTGAAGAGGTGTCCCCAAGGGGTTCTAGGAACCCTCGAACCGCTACAGCTCTAATAGAGCCATGACAAGACCATCAAGGACCTACTACGTCTGTGCCATTTTGGACCCCTCCTGAACATTGAGGAAGCATTCCAAAGGTTACTAGGAACCCCTGAATTGCCATGGTTGTATTTGAGCTATGGCGACACCGTCACAGGCCAGCTACATCCGTGGTGGTTTGGGCACCTCCTAGACACTGAGAACACGTTCCCAATGGGTTCTAGGAACCCCCGAACCACCATGGCTCTAATAGAGTCATGGCAAGGGGGCAGGTTTGGGGTTTTAATATACCGTCATAGAGGTCAATGATGGGAAAAAACACCAGTTACGAGAAAACTAGGAGAATATAGGTACATGTGTATTAAATGACAGATTTTGATATATTTGAAATACATAAAACTTTATAAGTAATTATCCTATGAGACCCTCACACATATGCATTGCATAGGAACCCCTTCAATCACCATCAAATCTTCTTGCACATCTCGATGATTTATTAGGTATTGAGTCACCCTGTAAAACATAGAATCCAACCGATTGGAATGATAAATGGGGTGCTGAGTCATCCAGTAAAGACGTAGAAACTAACCGATTGAAATATGGTAAAAAATAAGAAAGAGAAAAATCTATGCAGTCGCTCTCTCTCTCCCTCTCAGCAACTAGGTAAAAAGCCAACTTTCTTCCCCGAAGCCGAGCAATTGTGTATGTTCATCATTATTGCATCCATATTTCTCAATCTAAGAACCCCCAAATCTTGACTTTTAACTCGGCGAAAGAAAAGTTGGATCTTGAAGTAGAGAGAGAGAAAGAGAGATGAAAAGTGTGGGATTAGAGAAAAACAACATTGGTTTCACCAGAAAGCTCAAATCTTTTTCATAGAAACACACACCGCCTCATATACATACAAATACCTCATCATTATCAATCTTTTTACACGCCTACAAATGCATATCCCTACCATTCATTCTCTCACATTCATTTTACACTGAGCCGGAAACCTGAAAATTTGGCTGGAAAATTGAGAAATCAACTGAAGATCTCCATGGATTTGACATCAGGTTGGGGCTTCAACTTTGGGAACAGTCCCAGTGAAAACTCCATTCTCCATGGCCGCCTTGAACCCCATCCACCTTCGCATTCTCACCGAGCCTGAACCTCCTCAGAAACTTGCCATGACTTTCTCTCTCCACTTATCTGTAGCACCTTTTCATCTTCTAACTCCACCTTTACCTCCTCTTTCTTGAGTCCAGGGAGATCGCCCTTGAACACATGGGTGTGGAAATCTCTTTGCAATTGAACATCACATTCAAGAAAGCAGAGGTTGCAGAATCACTAGGATTAAAAACGGAAGAACAAGAAATGTTGTTTGTGTTAAAAAGGAGAAACAAAGAAGCCATCAAAGGGTTTCCAAATTTTAATGGTTATCTGACAGAGAAAATTGGTTTTCACTGGTTTTTTTTTATGGAGAAAGAGATCAACTTTTCACCATCTACTGCTACAACTAATGAGAGAGAAATGGAGACGATGGGTTTTAATGAGGGAGAGGGAATGTGGTGATTAGAGAGAAAAAGGTGTAGAATTTTCTAAAAAAAAATCACATCCAGATAGTTTCCCTCCAATTAATGCGAGGAGCGGGGTAGTGTATCCACCATCCATTCACGAAAATGACAACAGATTTTTCCCATGTCTATTTTTTTACCATTTCAATAGGTTGGTTTCTCTATCTTTATCGGGTGACTCAGCGCCCCATTTATGATTTCAATCCATTGGTTTCTATTTGTTTACCGAGTGACTTAGCACCCCATATATCATCGAGGTATGTAAGAGATCGGGTGACTCAGCACCCCATTTATGATTTCAATCCGTTGGTTTCTATTTGTTTACCGAGTGACTTAGCACCCCATATATCATCGAGGTATGTAAGAGATCCGGTGACTCAGCACCCCATTTATGATTTCAATCCGATGGTTTTTATTTGTTTACCGAGTAACTTAGCACCCCATATATCATCGAGGTATGTAAGAGATTTGATCGGTGATTGAAAGGGGTCCTATATGTGTGAAGGCCTCATAGGAAGATTACTCAAAAACTTTATGGGATATTTTTTACAATTTCCCCAAAAAAACAACTTCCAAATTCGTAGTCAATGATTCATTAATTCACTCTTCTCATTAATTCTCTCTCTCGAATACAAACTCACACCCCTGCATGTGTGCACACCACTCAGGCAGAGGCCCTTATGGCCATCGCATATGCACAACTATACTGATTTCATAATACCACATTTTTGTATTTTAGACCGTTCTTGCAAAATGAACAGTAATCTCGTGGTTCTTACAGCACATGCATAATTTGGACCTGGAGGACAAATGACTTGCATACGTTATAACCTGCACTCCACATCTTGTGGGGTTCAAAGCCATGGGGGAATTCAATGCAAATTGCTTGGTTTCAGGCATTTAAAATTTATTCCCTGATTAGTGCGTTAACACACAAATGAAGAGAAATCTCAGTTCAGGGGAATTCCCGCAAGCAATTACATGGAAATGTTGATCTGGTCAAAATTTTGGTTGCATAATTCAAGATTTTACAAAAGGCAACCTAAAAGGTGGCTCAAGTAACCATTGAACGGATCACTTGGGCTTTCTCCTCAGCAATTTGTACTTTCCAAAGACATTCTTTTGCTGCCACAGATGTGGGATGAAAAAGGCTCTATAAGCAACAGGTGACAATTCTCTGTCCAAATATGGTAGGGCGGCAAGCACCTGAAACCAAAACCAATCATCAGAGTCAACCTTCCCCCCTCTTTTCTCTCCCTCTCTGAAAACAAATGAAAATAAAACTGTACTGTATTTTGATTTACAACTCCCATTCACAGTAAACCAATAAGAATCATCACAAAAAAGAAAAAATAAAATGCCAAAACAATCTCTCTCTCTCTCTCTCTCTCTCTGCGCACTTACAATAAAAAAGAAATAATAAAATCCTAAAACAATCACACACTCTCTCTCTCTCGCTCTTTGCACTTTTAATAAAAAAGAAGAGCTTAAAACAATCATCACTCTCTCACACACACACCTCCCATGTGGATAAGTCACTCCCACGCGTAGGATACGGCCTTTGCAGTTCAAGCTCCACAAGGAAAGTACAAGTTTCAAGGTCTCTAAGCTGCATGACCGAAGGAAGATAAATTATGCTTTGAAATTTTGTGGAAGACAGTTCAAATACATGTTAGATCACAATGGTTCCAACTTACATATTGCCCATCAGATGCCCTGTTCTTGTTGTTAAAATAAGGAGGAGCAGCTGCAGTGCCCCCAAGAGTTGAATTAAACGGAAAAGGAAGCAATCCCCGAAAACCATCATCTATCCATCGAACTTGACCCACATGGGATGGGATGAAGAAGGAAGATGGGAAGCGATGCCATTCACTCCCAACACAGACCACAGAGCCTGTAAAACAAGTAATAGTCCAATGTCTCCAAGACATTAGATACAAAATCGCAATTCTGAAAATATTTGCTTATTTACAATTAATTTTTACAAAAAATAGATAATTAATAGAAAAATGAGTTAATCCTAACCTTCACCAGTATCATCATCGAGTTCTAAATGCTGGTAGATCTCTAATGGTGCAGAGTAGCCATGTAAAAGTGAGAGTGTCCGGCCATGGGAGGCACACAAAATGAGGCTAAGCACCAAAGGTCTGAGGATTTTTGCTATCTGTCTCAGAAAATAAATGTGAATCGAAGTTCATTTCTATTTTCATCATTTTCAAACAAATGGATCCGTGGGCAATAAAAACTGCAAATAACGGTTTCCACTTACCATAACACATGGTGTATTTTCATCATTGCTATTTTCATATCGGAAGAAATCAGGAAAGCTTTCAATGACAGCAGCAGCAGCCACACATATTAGTGGGTATATCGGATAAAGGAATCTGTAACCACAATAGTCGAAAGATAAAATCAGGTACTTAAAAACAAGGAAACAAAGAAGAAGAAAATGGATTTTAGAGAACCCCTATTATGAACATAGCACATCAATGGTGTAACGATGAAGTCATATGTCTTCGATGCTCAGAGACAAAAGGATGAATGAAATGGCAAAATGATCAATTGATTAATAGTAACCAAGTTCGTATAATTTCGAACGGGCCTGGTAGAGATTAGTTTCTCACAATGAAGCCGAAAAATAGAACAATTATGGCTCATGATTACTGTACAGAAAAAAATTGATCAGCAATCTCACAGATTTAAATGTGGATATTATCAGTGCAATGTCTAGGAGAGAAGTCATGAACTCAAATGCCTCATTGTTTGTGGAAAGGAGAGCACCCAAGATTATCACTCACTCAGGTGTAAGTTACCGATACTTTAATTACAGGTGACGATATGGATTCCATAATGGACGGTTGAAGATACAATGAAACAAGGTGTTCGACATAAATGTCCTAGGTACACGACATTCTTTCCTTGGTTTACTCCAACAATAGTGTGTTCATCTCTCAAAGAAGTTACTCCTCTGAAAGAAAGCACACTAGTAATTCACCTGACAACGCAGTAACTTATTTATGCATTCAGAGGCTTGTAGAAGAAATAACTATTTTGGCAACCTTCCTTAATCACTCAGGACTTATGGTGCCAATAGAACTCTTCATTCCTATGAATGTGTTAGTTATCTGGCTTTGATTCTACTTGCTCCACTTATTTGCATCGAAAAGGGCCATTTGTTGTACACAGTGTTCGCAAAATCGAACCGGAATGGTTAACCGGACATGGGCCCGGAAGCGATTTAACCAGCCTAACCGGTAAACCAGCCGATTCAACTGCTCTAACCGGTCAAGTCCTGTACTATCAAAAAAGTGTTAAAAAATAAAAAAGATACCAAAAAAATCTATTAAAATATGAAAAGCATATAACGAATGCGATTAAAACAGAACACACTCAAATGAAGTTGAAAATTAATGAAAAAAATAGATTTTAACGAATTGATTTGTGCCTAGGGGAATTTTTAAAATTTTTTGAAAAAGATGGGAAAATATAAAAGTATCATTGACCAAAATATTTTAATCTTTACCATAATATAAAGAATATTAAAATAGTGTTAAAAAAATCGACTTGACCAACTCTTGTTTTTAAAAGAAAATGAAGAAAAAATTAAGTTATATATAATATAGGCCCTTCTTTTTGTCAATTAAGTAATTGTAAATAAACGCAAAAACACTGGCAACAAGATTCAATCCATGATTCACGTACCACTTAACTGATATAAATGTGAAGTAACGTTATATCTAAAGCTTAAATTTACAAGAACTTAAGTAATATTATATCTAAAGTTTAAATCAACAATAACTTAAAAGAGAAAACGTAAAAACGCTAGCGCGAGATTCGAACCATAGTTCGTACAACTAAGCCGCTCATGCTAACCAGTAAACCATTGTAATGTAAGTGATATAAGTTTGAAGTAATATTTTATATAAAGTTTACAAATATCAATTGATCACCAAAACTGCCCAAAACTGGAACCGGCCACTGGCCGGTTCCGATCTAACTAGGCGGTTACTGGTTAGATCGGCTGGTTTTGCAAACACTGGTTGTACATTGTTCATCCCTCCCAACCCCCAAAAGCAAAAAAATAAAAAGAATAAAAAACTAAAAACGTGCTAACACACATAGAGACAAAAACAAAGGCCAAACGTATCGCAGTTCATGAATATCTCCTAACCACTTGGAACCTTTTCCCAATTTTCAATTCCCTCCAACTCTTCCCTGTGAAACTGAGAAAACAAACCACATTTTATCATAAAGTGAAATGGGACAAATTGTTGAGGCAGTGTGTGCAATAAATAGTAAGAGTTGCTGGAAACAGGCTCAAGGAGAGTGCAGACGCAAATATGAATCTCTCAATCCATCGATAGGAGAACATAGTTTGACCTTATCATCATTAATTCCTTTGTGTTATTGAATTACATAAATCTAGCTTCAACAAGGAAGAAATCAGGTAAATTCTAACATCGCACAAACTCCAAAGGACACACCATGCTTGAGCTCACTCTATACCTTCCTTTCACCAAGGATCCCCCAATAAACTTCCAAGAAGATCATCATATAGGATAATTAGAATGATAAACCAATGTCATAACCAACAAGAATTTATTTACCATGCCACAAAATGAACAAAGTTGAAAACTCAGTGTAGACACCTCCAAAATGCCTCCTGGAATTCCTCTACGCATGAGGAAATCTTATCCAACTGTGTCCCACCCAGTGTTCAGTTTGTAGGTGTCTACCATGTTTCTACTTCTTTTCCAAAAAAATCTGACATGGCAAGAGACATCTATGACATTATTTTTATTTTAAGAAGTAGGTCTATATAACAAAAGTAGTTCGTTCGTTTATATACAAACATGAAACTTTTGTAGTAGTAGATCTGGCTACCCCTAATAGAGGAGCCTGGAGTTAGAACCTCTATGATTACATCTTGTGTTATTTTATAATATTAAATAACACAAGAAAAGATTTGCAAGTCCTCTTCACACCCATGCGACTCAGTGGTGATAAGTTTTACTACACCGTTTCAAGATGTCATGAGTTCCAGCTCCAGAGCTCTCAACTCAATATATTTTTTTATCCAAGATGTGTTTCCCTAATGCCATCAAGAATCCATGAGCCCATCAGCTACATACTTCTTCTCGATGAAGGTGGAAACCAAGTTAGCCAACTCTCGAATTCCTTGACCTTGACCTTCGTCATCCTTGATATTCCCATACCCTGCTAACTTCAACCTGCTCTTTCACTAAGGGGCAGAATATCTCCGTGATCTCCTCCAACAACAAAGGAGAGATGAAAAATCTTCCCAATTTCCACTACCATCTCATTGATCCATCTTTCTCTATCACCGATGGTTGTGTATGCGCATAAGATTGGGGAACTCCTAGGACGAAGACCCGATGTCAATATCGTACTAAATTTTGATACTGACACAGTTCTATAAGAAAAAACACTGAGAGTCAACTTATACAACAGGAAAACAATTTGTACATTATTATCTAGAAGCGACAGTGAAATACCTCAGCAAAAGCCTGAAACCAGGCCAAAAAATGCCACTTTAGTCAAGGGCATATTGCCAATTAAAATTGACAGCTATTGGTCTCCAAAATTTGACAAAATTGCCCAAGCACATTTCATCTTCAAATAGGTGCACCTTCGGCACAGTTTTATCTAAAAGCCACCGCAATACATCTCAGTGGTACTCCTGAAAAGCTAATTCAACTCAAACCCTTCCATATAGACAGGTAGGTACTGCAAATAATTGAAAACTAACATCTAATCCACAACTATTAGCATTTGTAGTTTAACATTGCATGAAGCATGATGTAACATACATGACAGTTTGAAATCATCTGATATTAAAGGACATAAAGGATATTAAAGGACATAAAGGCCGAAAGTGGAGCAATTCTATGCTTTAAATACCTTTTCTTCATGAGAATTTCAAGCATGGAAAATGAGCTAAAGTAAATACATGACAGCTGAATTTGGTAATAAGTTACAAAACTGTTACAGCAAGCTGATAGTAAGCAACCATGAGAATTTAACGAAACAGAAATCTCACCTTTCTTCTTTGTGAGGCTGCAAGGACATAAATATCAACCATATAAAAATGGGAGCAACTACAACAAACAAATGGGGATAATATTTCTTCTTGGTGATTGGTAGAATCACTGGGAACAGTAAAGCTAGAATGAAGCAAAAATTGAAATTGTTGAATCCATTCCGCAGATAAAACAGTGTCCCTTCAGTCCCATATAAATGGCTGTCTCCACCTCCAACAACATTATAGATTACAAGATTCAGAACCGATGATGTCCATCTTTTATAAAAGTGATGATCAGTGAGAACAGAGAATGCCTGAAACAAAAAAATTAAAGCTTTGGGATTCAACGGCAGGCAGAAACTTAAATTTGGGAATTTAGAAAGCATTTCGAAACGTTTAAAGCAGCTGTTCGGGCGATTACACCAAAATTTTAAAGGCAGTCAGGGCTAGGGGTTTGGGAACCCCCAATCCAAATCATGTAAGATGCTGCTGAAAAAAAAGCGTCATCCTTTGCTTTTTGGAAAGGAGTCTGGACCCTTTTTATTGTATGGCCACAATAGTGCTGTGGCGCGGTTGTTCTTTTTCCCCAGCTCTTTTTCAGAAGGTTAAACCTAAGCAAAGCCTTAGACTCGACTTCGACCAAAGCTGATTTTCTTTTCTGAAGAGAAAAGAAAAGCTTCCCAAAAGGAAGAAGAAATAATATTTCACCCAAATTTGAAACTCATATTCTTGGAAGAGAAACAAAAGCATGCTCCTTAAATCAAACATACATTTCAAATCAATTCCAAAATGTGCATGTTTAAGTGAAAATTTGCACAGCACATAGTTAGCAAGTCAAGGAATAACAATATATCGACACTAAAAATCCGGTAATATGTCAATTTTAGTCCAAAATTCGGAGGCAAAAAGTCGGGGCGAAAAAAATGAATCGTCATAATTTAGGTAGGCTAAGAGATTGTGAATATTTTGGATTTGGCTCCAAAAAACATAGTGAATAAGTCATATATGTTTAGGTGACTTGATTAAAATTACAGTTTGCGGTTATTGAAGGGAATACAATGAAGTCATTGAACAACTTGGTAACATTTAGGGTTTTGGAAAATTTTCATTCTAAATTTTCATGAGACACAACAACATGGTATGCTTTCTCCATTGTCATGAAACAAACCATGTTAAGATTTTATTAAGAGTATACATAGAGAGTAACAAAAGGCTTACTTGTACCAAATAACATGTGGTAGCCGTAAAACAAAAATATTTGAACCTCATCCCCAATTCCCGGCTGCTTAAATCTTTAATTGTGACTGAACCACCCTCTCGTCCTCTTTGCAATGATGCTCTTGATTCAAGAAAAAGAAAATTTTTTCATTGGGTTATTCTGTTTTTAACTTAACAATTTTTTTGGGAAATGTGGATGTTTGGGAGAATATTTTTCCTTGAATTACATTGCTACTATTTTATTTTTTACTAATATTCTTCTTTTAAGGAATACACTTTTTTTCTGGGATACTTTCGTGAAAAACTTTTCGGAATTTAATTTGATCCCAATTTTAGTACGCATATTAAAATTTTAAAACCAATATTCAAAGGTTTCAAATCAATGAAGAGAAATGAAAATTTCAAGAAAATCTGAAAAAGGGGATTTTTTTTTAAAAAAAAATTGTCTTACAATATAAAACTTGCTAACTATGGTGTAGAAGGCCCTACTTATGGAAATCTGATGTCAGCTCAGTTTTCCATTTTTACAAGTGCTGAAACTGAAACTCCAGCTGGAAATTGTCAAAACTTTAACCCAGGCATAAGATATTAAGAGAACTTAAATAAGTATTTCATCCTGTTTTAAATATAACTAACCAGAATGCCAAGTGAAGTTGCTAGCCCTGCAAGGAACACTTGCTGGAACCTTCCAGATATCAAGGAATAAATAGTCACTGGCAATACTACTAAGATGGAAAATGGCCATCCAAGGATAACACCTGCAGCAGCCACCAGAACTGCCAAAGCCGGTTTATCTAGAAGGAACAAAGCTGATGAAAGAGTCACAGCATACATAGAGAACGAACTTGGCAGGAAACCTGATTACGGGACCCACAAAACACTGGACATCAGAATATAATCAACACAAATTTTCAATGGCATAAATTACATAAAGTAAGACAGGCAATCCAATAAGAACGATACTATAAAGAAACAAAAACAGGAGAAGAATATAAAGCCATTACGGAATAGGACATGGTTTTTTAACCCATAGGAATCACTTACTGGTACTAGCAAAGAAGCAACCACTTGTAAAACAAAGCATTGCTAAAGTGTACATGGCAAGACGCTTGCCATACTTCTTGGAAAGGGCTACCACCAAAACAGTCTCACAGATTGCTGAGAGAAGACCAAGAAAAAGCCTCACTGAGTAGAACACCCTGACCTGCCAATGATTTAAGAAGCCACACTTTAAGAATGGATGAAGCGTTCAGAAAAGGAATGAACTAGAAACTTAGGTAGTAATTGCCCAATGTAAGACAAAAGGAGGTGAGGGATAAAAGATTAACCAAGCAAGAATTTGATTGCACTCACTTTTTCCTCTTTAAACATCCAAGAAGCTGGAGCAGCTGGCAATGCATGCAAAAGAGTGTACAAATATGAGCGAAGCGCAAATTCTGAGCTGCAATATATGAATCAACATGTGCACTTCAGAGGATGGATATATAGAAAAGGACACACATGCACACACGAAAGCATGCACATATATATGTATGTGTATGTATATATGTATATATATATATATATATATATATATGTGTGTGTGTGTGTGTGGAAAATGCTGAGATTAGCCCACTAGCTCATACGAACATATGTGTTCATATGAGCCCAACAGCCCAGATTAAATCTGGGCCGATCTGACAATCACGACATCATTTCATATTTGAATTTTAATATTTTTTCTACGAATCCAAATAATTTAAAATTTTAGGCGTGCATTATTAAGAAATAGGAGAATCTAATTAAAATATCAAAAAAATAATTTGCAAGAAATAAATTGACCAAAATACCCCTGAAACATTTTGGGGGTATTTTGGTCAATTTATTTTTTGCAAATTATTTTTAAAATATTTTGATTAGGTGCAACTTGATGAGAAGAATGAACGACTAAAATTTCAAGTTATTTGGATCCGTAGAAAAAAATTAAAATTCAAACACGAAATGAGATCGTCATCGTCAGATCGGCCCAGATTCAATCTGGGCCGTTGGGCTCATATGTTCATATGAGCTAGTGGACTACTCTCAGCATTTTCCATATATATATATATATGGGTGCGGTTCTTATAGAGCCTAGGCACTAAACAATCAAATTAGAGCATGCCTTCAAATAATGTCAAGAAATGTAGTTTCAATACTGAAAATATTTGTGATAGCCTTAAAATATATTTTCATTTTTATTTATAAAGTTTAAAGTTTCAAAAATAGTGTAGATCAATAGTCTATTAAAACTTGAAAATTGATGGTCCAAAAATACTTTACAAAAAACACAATTTTCAAAACTTGAAATCCATTTTTTTTTCTCATGTTCATGCACCTTGATATCGAGATGATAAATTTAAGGATATTTGGGCATCAAAACAACCTCTTCTAGTGAAATTTTTGAGGCGGCTCAAA